ATTTTGTGGGGGTTTCTTTGTTAATATCACCAAGAATGTTGATTTGATCCTGCTTGAGGAAGTTGATTGTTAGGTTGGTGAGTTCCTCATCAAGATATGCTGTTGGATGTCCAAAAAAAACATGCAAGGATGGTAGGGGGTTTCTTTGTTAATATCACCAAGAATGTTGATTTGATCCTGCTTGAGGAAGTTGATTGTTAGGTTGGTGAGTTCCTCATCAAGATATGCTGTTGGATGTCCAAAAACAACATGCAAGGATGGTCTTCCCATTAGGGGGGATGAGGATTGTCCCAATTTCCGCAAGCAATAAGCCCCAATTCTAATGGTACAATACTGAAGGTGGAGTGCAACCAATAAGGATCCTGGTTGTGTTGATATATTGTCACCAAATCCTTGCCCCCCAGCACAATGTCAAAGGTGATACTAGTGCTCTTGTGGAGGCATGGATCAGCTAGGAAATATTTGAAGTCCTGTAGCTGTGAAAGTGTGTGGGGGTTGGTTGCCCCCCAGGATTCTTGCAGTGGTACAACAACAGCTATGGTCTCCAAATTGAATTTTGTATTGTTCCTGGGCTGCAAATGCAGCTTTACCAGTGTTGTTGACTGCAGACAAGCGTTTCCAATGACCACAATGGTGTGGGCTGTGGCTGTTTGTAAAGTTGGTAATTGAAGTTGCTGGACAGGGGCTTGCGTCACCAGAGTCAATTGTGATCCTGTGTCAAGTAACGCATGGACCTCAACATCTTGTGGTTGTATTTTAATTGTTGCGGTTTCCAGAAGAGAGTATGCCACAGAACTTGTTGCAACATTTGCCCAAACTATTCATGTAGGGTTGGCTATTGATGCTGGTGCCTTGCTTGCTGGTGCAGGCAATGCCGCCGCCGTTGGCGGTAGTGGTAGGCAATCAGAGATGGCTTGTAAGATTGAGACAAAGTTGCAAGGATCTCTGTTATTTGATCTGTTGCTTTGTTGAATGCCATGATTGCGCCTGTTATTGGAGTTGTCATTGCAGTTAATTTGGTTGTTGTTGTTTTGATTGTTGTTGCTTTGTCCATTGCTGTTGCATCCATTGTAGTTTTGATTTTGGTTGTTGTTGAAATTGTTTCAATTTTTGTTGTTAAATTGGGATGAGTTCCGATAGGATTCATTATCCAAAAACTGTTACCTTGGTATCTATTGTTGTTTTGGAAGCCACTGCTTCTTTGATAGCTGTTGTTGGCTTGAGAGCCATTATTATGGGGAGAAAGTGAAGGAATGGGAAAGTATCCATCTAATTTAGATAGCTGACATATCTTATGAACATTTTAACTGCTCCAGTAAAAAAAAATCAGAAAACAAAGGGTAAAATGAGAAGGACAGAATATCAATGGGGAAAAATGGTTTCACACGCGAAAAGATTTTGCAATTCTAGATCTTCAGCAACATAAAAAAAATAAAAAACACTGTGTTGTTGGTCTTACATCGGAATCGATTTTTGGCGAATTTCTCGCCTTGAAATTTGGCTGCCTTTCTTGTGGCATTCGAGTAAGTGCAGTAACATGTAACATATCTCTTTGAAGATGGAATAAATGCTGGAAAACAAAATCCATGTCACGTCTTATCTTCCAGGATGAGTTTGATAAACAACCAAAATAAGGCTGTATTCTACGCCGTCTTTTCGTTTTTCGTGTTCATATGGACTTTCGGAAGTCTCCGAGAATATTTCAGTACGAATTCGTCAGATTCATGCAATATCCAAATTTTGCTTGCCATGATGATTGAAAATAGACGAGGAGAAAGGGGAGAATTTCCTTATGATAAGACAAAAAAAGGTTCCAGTTTTTATGATGTCGTCAACCAGATTTTCAATGGGAAGGTATGTATCTTTTTGGATCCAGTTTTTTGTTTGAAGATTTGCTCAATTTTCTTCAAGTTGAAGCGCAAAACGCCGAAAAGAATTGTCGTTATTTATTGTGGGATTTTCTGTGGAGTAAAAATATTTGCTTCAAGAGAGGAAAGAGATGCGCTACCTGTGTTTTGTGCCTGCGTAATTAATGACCTAATATCTTGCTTGTATTTGAAACAATTTCTTTCTTGCATCACTACCTTCAAAATACAAGAATTGAGCCTTCTTAGAATTTAGAGCATGTGTAAGAAAAATGATCATAAAATGTAAGATTTATATTTTCACTGCGAATTCCAATCACACATTAATGAACCCATGGTGCACAAATACTTCATTTTCAATTGGTTAACCTTCTTAGAATTTAGAGCATGTGTAAGAAAAATGATCATAAAATGTAAGATTTATATTTACACTGCGAATTCCAATCACACATTAATGAACCCATGGTGCACAAATACTTCATTTTCAATTGGTTAAACAAGTTACTACGCTTTAAAATGCATTTTGAGAAATTCTTTGATTTGAAGGAAAAACAATATGGATTTTTTTCTCACCGCTAACAGTCGAGAACAAGGAAACCAATTTAATTTTCTTGCATCAAACTTTCCTCAACAGAGAAATGGAGTGTTTCTTGAGGCAGGTGCGTTTGATGGAATCGGAGGGAGATTATGTGACCCAGATCTTGACGAGTTACCAACCTGACCACAGGAGTAACTTCTGGCTGGTCTAGAAAAGTTCAGGCACGAGTTTTGTTTATCCTTTCGGTAGTACTAGTTGTGGACGTAACGTCCAAGCAAACAACGTGGAACGGTTGTTGCTCGAAAAGTTTTTTTCATGATGATTTTTTTGAGTCCCTTCAGATTTGACAAACAGAGGTTAAACGTCTTTAACTGGTTAAAGATCTTGGATCTGCCAAATTTTCACTGCTGAAAATGCTGAAGAAAATCACCAATTACAGACATATTCCAAAACACATCAAGTACAGTTGAATCTGGTTACAACAAATACACTTACAACCGTTTTTCATCATGATGAACTCTTCTCAAGTCCCAGCAGAAAGCCTGTGGAGTGCATGTTGAAAGAATCTCAAAACAAACTGCTCAATTCCAGTGTAACAAACCTTTTATTAGATTCTCTTGGCAGACATTTTCTAAATATGACTGGCACAGCCTGAAAGTTCTGATTCCAAATGTGACTGACTGCTGGTTCTTGTAGTCCTCATTGAAGACCGACCAGATCTTTTCAAGTCCGTGCTCAAAACAAATAGGAAAGCCATCATGATCAACACCTGCATTGCTCCAAGCAAACAACGTGGAACGGTTGTTGCTCGAAAAGTTTTTTTCATGATGATTTTTTTGAGTCCCTTCAGATTTGACAAACAGAGGTTAAACGTCTTTAACTGGTTAAAGATCTTGGATCTGCCAAATTTGCACTGCTGAAAATTCAGAAGAAAATCACCAATTACAGACATATTCCAAAACACATCAAGTACAGTTGAATCTTGTTACAACCAATACAGTTATAACCGTTTTTCATCATGAGAAACTCTTCTCAAGTCCCAGCAGAAAGCCTGTGGAGTGCATGTTGAAAGAATTAGTTTTGTTTGACGAGTTAAGGTCACATTGTTTGGAAAATAATCTAAGAGAACCGTCTGTAAAAGATTTATACTGACCGTGTCGGACTTTCAAGACTAAGGTTTACGCTGACTGACGACCAAGAACAAGCATTGATGCAAATTGTAATCAATAACAAAGATTGCTTCCAACTGTTTCCGCAGAGCATTCTTCTAGATTCAATTATATACTGATGGAATGCCTGATTAAAGCGTTTTTTATTCTTCTTTAGATCACTCAGTTGTGCAAACTAATAAATAAATAAAAATTTCCAAAGCAGCAAGATTTAATGTCTGATGTGAAATTTTTTCATTCAAAATTATCTAGTTAAGAAAACTTTTCCTGAAGTCCCCCAAAGTTTGTTGTGATGGGCTGCTACTCACACTGTCTTTACACAGAGAAGGTACCCAAAATCATGTTGTACAGTGACGGAAACCTGGGCGTCAAAGGACGTAGTCGTTGTAACTACCCTCTTGATCCCATAGGTCACTTCTTACGTTTAATGTGCGTAGTTCCCAGGTTGTGCTTCCCATTTATGGACATCCTGAAAGCAACAAACCACACGAAATTAGATTTCCTCTCTTTGGATATACAGTTCATTGAGTTGGATGTGATGAAGTCCATGGACTGGAACTCTGTTGACATCAAGGTGAAAAGAAAATTCAAGAAGCATGGACAGCCTGAGACCATGTATAAATTTGTTGTGTTCCTGATGTATAGGTTATATTGATGGAGATTGGAGCAAATGCTGCAATTTCACGTTCTCAATGGCTGGATAGCATGAACAGCATCCTGGAACCAGTTGGGTACATACTCCAGAAGGCCTATCGATATGATGCATGTTATATGAAGAGAAACATTGACATTTCTTGAAAATATTATTATTATTATTGATCCATTTCCCAGATTCATTAACGTATTCCTTCTGCTTTATTGCTTTGTGCACGATTTATGCATTTTGTTTTCGGATCTGCGTGCATCAGTTGATGGCATCCAGTTTCTCACGTGTCAAGAAATTGTTCTCCAAGTTTTACTGAATAGAATAAATGAATTACTGCCAGTAGTGCCTGAAGATTGTGTTATTACAAGTGGTCTCTGTCCATACAGCGAAATTCAGGGTACCAGAAGAAATTCGTTGTGCACAGAATTTCGTTGTAGACCGTATTATTGTAGAGAGATAGGCTGCATGTCAAAGAAATTCAAAGTCAGAATTCCCAGGCAAAGTAGAGAACAGAAACACACAAAGGAAAGAAATGTTTTCAGTCAGCGCTGTTTGCCCATCCTGTCCTCAATCACAAAGGGCTGAATTTTAAGTTAAGTTTCATTTCGAAACATATTTTCAATTGACACTCAAATCTCAGACACGAATGCAAAGTCAGATGACATCGGTCACTAGTAATTGTTGCCCAAAATATCCCGAACAACCGAACTCATGAGAACAAACTCAAAAAATCAAACTCAACTCTTTTCCCTTGTAAACCGCACAACTATAGGTTTTTCTGAATGCCAAAGCTCAAGTCACCGATTTTCCCACCCCAGCAGACAACCAATGCCTCTAAAATCTCGGCCCCGAATGATCGATTTTCTCCTGCTGATGGCGATAAAAATTTTCTTGACGCAATTTTCTGGGTGGGGTGATTTTCTCAACTTTGAAGGAACTTTCTTTTGGCCAGGATTGGCTCGTAGGGTGCCGTTCTGCCCGGCTGGTCTTTGATTTGTTTCTGTAGGTGCCTGGTTTCCTGGGGGGTGTCAGGGGCTATTGAGCCTCTCTGGNATCAGTTTCTAAGCTATCCTGAAAGTTTCAGCTTGCTAGCTAGTCCGGAAGTGAGCAAAATTTGAGTTGCAAAATTTGATCCGGACAAACAAATGGACAAGAAAGCGAGTTAATAAAAACGTGTTAATACAGTAATAATAATAAGCTAGTAGGAAACCATTCCGGACACCTTCGACTTTGGGGCACTTCAACTTTTAACAAATCTGCACGACGTCTGAACAATGTCTCAAGATATGGACACATTTCCAACATATATAGAACAACTGAAAAATGTCTATCTTTCAACATTTGGATGTCTCTCGAACAAATTGAATCAATCATAATTAGAAAGATTTCATCATGAATACACTCAAATTTATAATTGAGAACAGGTTAATTTTGTTCTTTTTTTTAGTATTTCTCAAGTCACCTGTGCACAGTATAGCAAGACTTGTATTTTTTTTCTTTCCTGTTTTGGGGTCCTTTTGATGCCATAAGATCAAAGTCTGTGTGGTTTTCATCAGCACAGTCCTATTCAGTACCTTCCAGTCGAGAAACTCATCTAACCATTTTTTTGGGGATTCATTCCAAATTTCTGATCAACTGCAGGACCAATTAAGTAAGTTCCCATTGAAGTCTATGAGAAAAATAATGAAAAAATTTAAAAAATTTTCAAACAGGGCTGATATTTTTTGTGTGCCAAAGAATATGTTTTCCCTGAGGAAAAAATTTTTTTCAGCTCAACTGTGAGCCATTTTCATTGCTACTCCGAGAACTTTTGTTAGAACCCTCGTACTCTCCCCCGATTTCTATGCATCCACTAATACTTTATTCATTCAACGATCAAAGCATTTACGAAAATTGAGTCCCTATAGTTGATTAATACTGGCATGACATATGAAGAATGTACTGTACCTGTTTTTTCTCATGTTAAAAAGGAAAAATTGTTCTGTACGTTACTTCTATATCACAAAATCCTGAACTACCTCAATGAAAAAATACATGGTGGTTCCTCCCTACGTTTTTTGATAGAAGTTCAAAAAAAAAGGAGTAGATGTTGGAAGGAAAAACTGGTTCCAACAAGACTCATCCGTTTTCCCTGGAAATTGCAGTGATGTCATCATCATAAATCATGGATGATTTGAATCTCTCATTACAAGTAAATATTTCTCCTTCTTTCCGTTTATTAATTGTCAACAATTATAGCAAGTGTCATTTTGATGCTGAATCACACTCCACCAAATGGTTTGTCAGATTCTGCACTTTAATGAATCCAAAATTCCAGGGAAGGTAACTATTGAATTATGTAGCATTGGTCCACGTAATTGATTTCCATATCTGTGTATAAGTACTGCATGTGCGTAAATAACTAAATGGTTCAATATTTCTCTATATGGTCAACAATGGGGGGATGAACTGTCATTTTGAAGATAGCATATACTGTCCTAATTTCTGGTGGTGATTTATTTTCTACGTTTCTGCTGGTGGTGAGCTAAAGTGAGACCCCCAGATGCGGACATAATTGGTGCATTAAGAGTGTCCCTAAGTTGAATTTTCCCTAAGTCAATTCTTGTTTTCCCATAGACTCACATTAAATAACTTTTAATTGGTGTTTTTTGGAAGAAATATTCTTCAGAATTTCATGAAAATTTTTTTTTCACTTGAATTCAGCGAATACTTTTTCAAGCCAATAAGAACATCTGGAGCATTGAATAGTATACTGCTGTACAGTCCATTGAAATGTTGTCACTTGTAAAAATAACATCCAAGTCACAAAGAGAGAAGGGAGTTCCTCTGTGCTATATAGGACGTATAGGTAATTTTTAAAATTTGCTGGCGCTGCGGATGGTAAAGTGATGCAAAAAGAATAAAAAAAATTTCTTGCATAGATCTAAGTGTTGGAAATATCTGTTTCTTGCAATTAAACCCAATAAAAGTCAATTTTCCTAAAATGTACTGGAATTTTATCATGCAATGTCCTTATGTCAAGTCAGTATCTGTATGTTGGACCTTTTTTGTGATTTTTCTTTAATGGACGTCCCTATGTTGAATTGTCCCCATGTCAAGGTGTCCGCATCTGGGGGTCACACTAAATATCTTACCATGTGCAGCTGATCCTGAGATGGAAGGATAGCAAAGCTGTTTTCTCTGATCTTGGAACCTCATCATTATACCTACAGAGATTCATATAAGAAAATATTCTCCCGATATGTATATCAAGCCCGGCTAGCTCAGTCGGTAGAGCATGAGACTCTTAATCTCAGGGTCGTGGGTTCGAGCCCCACGTTGGGCGCACAATTTTTCGAACTGAATTTGGTTTTCATTCACGGTCTGGTACTTATGATCGTTCTGAAATACTGTACTGCAGAGCCCCGAGTAGCAGACGTAATTGGCTCTTAGACCTTGTCGTTATGTCGGAGCGTCCGTATGTTGGATCAAGTTTTCCCATGTTTAGTCAGTATTTATAAGTTCTCTTGCTCAGGAGAAATTAGGAATGAAGTTCACAAAAAAATTGAATGCAATTTTTCTGAACGTCAAGGTGCATAAAATACCTGCGCAGCAGAAAACCGCATGATAACAAATCTTTTAGCATCTGAAAAAGGAAGTCAATAACAAACAAAGAGCCAATGTTGCCGTATGGTGTATACACATGATGGAAATACCCTGAACAATATGCAGGAAATTATAGCTTGTTTTGGATTGTGAATATCAGAGTACAGTATATTTATGAATACAATTTTTGAAGATAAATAGTCCAATTTGTTAAAGAGATAGAACAAATTTTTCACATTTTCTAGAAATGTTGGAAAAGTGTCGGTATTTCAAGACATATTGTTCGGATTTTGGGGCAGACTTCTTATTGAAAGTTTCAAATTTCCCCAAGTCGAATCATCCGTATATATATATCGGGACTTCGAAGTCCAGTGTATAATTACAGTACTTTTTCATCATTTGTACAGTATATCTCTTTTTGGGTATTGCTTTCCTATATTTTAGGAATTGCAGTATTTCTTGATATTATGCGTCGCAGAAATATTAATTACCGTAGTTGAATCAAGAAATAATGTACTGCATAGAATGGATCAGGAATGGAATTCATGTCCATTATATCTACGTGAATGCTCGACATTTCTGTAAATATTCAAAAAAAAAA